GAAGAAGAAGAAGAAGAAGAAGAAGAAGAAGAAGAAGAAGAAGAAGAAGAAGAAGAAGAAGAAGAAGAAGAAGAAGAAGAAAAAGAAGAAGGAGAGAGGAAAGCGGTATAAAGTTGGGGAGGTGGTTGATGGATCTGAGAGGAGTCAGGAGGAAGAGAAGGGAGAGAATAAGATAAAAATTCTTTGTACAAAATTCTCAAAGAATTAATAGAAATATTGTATTAAAAACATCATTCCCTGAAAATACCTTGGACAATGTGATACCCTTTCTTAGATAGCAGGAGTCATAAAAATTTAATAGCTAAGAAAAATCCATTCAGCCATACTCAAAGACTAAAGCAATGTCATGTGGGTATAAAATAGAAGTTAAATTTTTATAGTTTTACATCATCAAGGTTCTAAATTCAATTTACATTAAAATAACTTACTTGCTAAGAGTCCAATTTACCTAAATGTTTATTCTACAGCAGCAGAAATTTGAATTAGTCTTGGAGAAAGTCAATGATGACATTCCTCTTTAATACACAATAACTGAACGTTCTTGTGAATGGGGCTTAGCAATTCATTAATTGGTAACCTCCCCCTTCTGCCCCATCCCAACACCCAAGCTCTCAGATCTGATTTCCAGTTTTTTTTTCTTGCTTCCTACAATATATGCTGGATAGAATATTCAACATGTTCATCTTACAACTGTTCACGTTTCCAGTCCCATGGTTCCCACACATGTGGCTTGGCTCCTTTTGAGAGGTGACTGGAAGCACTCAGCTGTGACTGCGTCCCCTGATCCAGGCACACAGAGGGACTCACTGGAAGTCGCAATTCTGAAAAGAGTCACAAGCAAAACACAATCATTGTTTCTGGTTCCTCCTGGAACTGCTTCCAAATTAGATCATGCTGTGTCAAAAGGAGAGGGTCCCATCCCTCCATTCTGAAGCCAGACTAGATCTATGAAGTAAGAAATGCACAATCAGGAGATGGGAACGTGAGGGATCGTGTTGGGAGATAGATGGAGGGTGAGAGCACTGAAAGAGAGGACTGGGAAGGCAGCGGGCATTTTGGGGTTAGGTAGAAACCTGATCCAAGGGAATCCCCCAGGAGTCTACAAGGATGACCCCAGCTAAAACTCCTAGCATTAGTGGATATGTAGCCTGAACTGGCCACCTGCTGTGACCAGGTAAGATTTCCAGTTGAGAGATTGGGACACAAACCCAGCCATAACCTTTGACCTACAGTCTGTCCTTCCTGTCATATGTTCTGGGGTAAGGGTGGTGCAGAGATTCTGAGAGTGGTCAACCAATGACTGGTCCAGCCTGAGACCCATGCCATGAGAGTAAGCTCATCACTGGCACTGCCTGGAGTGCCAGGACCCAGAGGTGAGATGGCCCAGAGACCTAGGATAGAACCAAACATGACTGGAGAAAAAAATGTCAATGTAATGATGCCTAACAATATTCTGCTATACTCATAGATTTGGGCCTACCCAATTGTCACCAGACAGTGTTCATCCAGTAACTGATAGCAACAGATACAGAGACCCACGGCCAAACATTAGGCTGAGCCCAGGGAATTCTGCTGAAGAAAGGGAGGAAGGATTGTAGGAGCCAGAGGGGTCAAGGACATTATAAGAAAACCCTCAGAATCAACTAAGCTGGTTCATAGGAGCTCACAGAGACTGAACCAACAACCAAGGAACCTGCATGGGATCAACATCGTCCCTCTACATATATGTGACAGTTGTGTAGCTTGATCTACTTGTGAGACTCCTAACAGTGGGAGCAGGGGCTGTCCCTAATGCTTTGGCTGGCTTTGGGGAACCTATTCCTCATACTGGGTTGCCTTGCCCAGCCTTAATACAAGGGGAGGTGGTTAGTCCTATCACAACTTGATATGCCATGTTTTGTTGATATCCATGGGAGGCCTGCCCCTTTCTGAGACTCATTTCATGAGAGTGAGCCCGTTCTTGCCACTGCCTAGAGTGCCAGGACCCAGAGGCTGGATGGCCCACAGACCTAGGATAGAATGAAGAAAGGGTGGATTGGGAGAGGGAATGGGAGGAGAGAAGGGAGGGGAAATTGAGATTGGGATGTAAAATAAATAAATAATCTAATCAACAACAACAAAAAAAGAAGAATGCATGGTCGGAGAGGTTTTTATTTTGGAGTCTTTTTTGTTTGTTTGTTTGTTTGTTTGTTTGTTTTTAGCCACAGACCAGGAAAACAACTGTAATAATTGGTTCTCAATTTTATTGCTCAGAAAGGAAGGTAGATTCCATATTTCTAACCATCTAACTCCAAGCTGACCTCCATCCACACTGCTAAGGGACGCTCTGACACTAATGGAAAGGTAGCTGTATGAGCTGTTTGTGGAGTGAATAGCACTCAGAAAACAAGTGGATTTCCTGACAATGTATTGCTTCATATACTTAAGTTGGTTATGCCTCATGATCTTGAAAACTTCACAAGGGTCCTAAACTATTTCAGAAAGGTTTTAGTTACACAAATGAAGGACAGCAACAATGTCTTACTTCAGAACAGTTGTACCAAAATGTTTAAAAAGAGAAAATATTGGATAAACTTAGTAAGAATTCCTGGAAGTTACAGAAAGCTATAAGATATATATTTTTAAAAAAGGCTTCTTCCATCAAAAGTGACATCAACTGTTAAAATCCACAGAAGCACAGGAGGTCAGAAGCATTTTATTTATTCTAAAACATAAATGAATACAACTGAGATAAATACCAGTGTTCCTATACTAATGTATATACTTAGGTATTTGTTTTTTAAATTATACAGCAGAGATATCATAATGGCCTATGCCTGGTTTATTTCTCAATTTTATATAGAATTACTCATACACACTTCTCAGTGGCTTATAGTATTCCCTTAAATAATATATATGATTAATTAGGATATTCTTCTCTACTGTTCACTTATTGTTGAAATATTTTTCCTTTGCTATTTTAACAACATTGTGATGAACATTCTCATACAACTATTTTGGTGCACCTGTATAAGCTTATCCAAATTCTTCTAGGTATGCAAAATTACCAAGTTAATGAATAAATGCATCGTAAATTTGTTAGGCATTATCAAATTGCTTTTTAAAACACTTATCCTAAATTCCACTCTATCCAAGAGTGTAGGGGAGTTGTTGTTTTACTCCCAGGTCAAAATGCTTGATTTTTAAGTCAAATAATTTATCCAGCTCTCAAAATGGAATAAAGCCTTTATAGTGCTTTTCCTTTTGTGCACATTCCATCAATACTAACATAGTCTAATTTAAAACATTTCACTCTTAAATAAAAGTCATAGAAGTGGAGCTGTTTGATGTAGTCCCATGTCTCATTATTTAGCACAGTGTGACTTGGTACAAAAAAGTCCTGATAACCTATTAGTAAGGCTTCCCTAGTAATGAAGTTCCATGTGTTATAACAATGGAATTGGAATTATTCAAATTGCTTTGGTTTTGAAGTTGACAAATGAAAAGCCATAGAAGATCATTTCTTTCCTTGTAAATCACAACCTTGAATTTTGTCATTATATTTGTGTGTGTGCCATGATGTGTGTGGCAGTCAGAGAACTACTTATGGGAGTTGTTTCCACCATGTGTGTGGGTCCCAGGTACTGAATTCAGGTCATCAGGCTTGGAAGCGAGTGCCTTTATCTACTGAGCCATCTCCCTGGCCTGGAAGTCACAAGTTTCAAAAGATTGAGATAGGAGCCAGGGATATAGCCTAGTGGTAGAACATGAATTTAGCATGTGCATGACCTTGGGTGCAATCATCTCCTATGGAGGGAGAAAAATAAAATGTTGACTAAATTCTTCAACCTTGTAAAAGGCAAAGAAATGTTCTCAATTAAAATTTCACTAAATATACATATTTGTCAGAAGTTATTACTAGGGAAAATTATATCTCTGCAAAAATTTTATTTGTAGCTTTCCTTAATGTGATATGAGACATTGTCATTGACTCCGATGTCCCCAGCCACAAGAAGCCCAGTATTTGAAGTCTAATCACAGCTGACTTTGGAGATGCTAGACACAGCCTATTTTTACTGGGCTAATATCTCAATGGTATCAGAAAAAAAAAGATAAAGAAAAGAGCAAAGAACTTTGTCCCCTTTTGTGGTTTACTTCAAGTGTTGGAGTGAAGTGTGATCCTAATTAGTCTTATCAATAAAAAACAGGAGTCAAATATCAGCTTAATAACCTAAGAGATCAGAGAAACAAAGGAGCAGCCTCTAGTGACTTCTTACCTCTCCGGATGCTCAGACCAAATGGGGGCCATGATCCTGTCTCCACCTGCTTCACATTCCTGTCTCCACCTCCCTATTGTGCTGGGATTAAAGGCTTGAGACTCCCAAGTGCTAGGATCAAAGGTGTGAGCCTCTACCACCTCCACCTAGCCTCTGTGGTTAACTAGTGAATAGCTCTGCCCTCTGATCTTCATTTGACGCTTTATTTGACAGAACACAAAATATCATACAACATTGGAGGAATACATGATGCTGGAAGAGCTGATGTGAGAATTGCCAAGAATGATAAGAGTTTTTCGTTAATCCCTAAAATTGTGATGGAACAATGGAATTTAATACTGATTAAATGAAGTTTATAGTGATTTATATTTATACATAAGTTGATAAACTCCAGGCTTCCACTACATTATTTCAGACTTGCTGATGGTTACATTTTATGATTCCCCCACCAAAAATAAAAAAACAGAAAACAAAAAACTTTTGTAATTAGTTGCACCTTGATATCTAAATTGCCTCCTATTTTATTTGAGTATGGGGGCAAGGAACAGACATAAACTTCATTAATATGTAGAAAATGCGGTTGTATTTCATGGAAATGTTATAAATGATTGTGGACATTTTTAATTTCCTAAGTTATATAATAGAATTGAATATTTGTTGGGAGGTATCTTCTTAGATCTTTTATTGGACATATCCATGCAAGGTTCTTACAATAAGTCTGTCAACTTGCTTCCTCCCTTTATTACCTGCCTCCCTCCTAATCTCTAGACACATTCAGAAAGCCTACAATTTTCCTCATAGTAATGCTGAAAGTAGCTTCTGTTTTTTGAAGGAATTGAGACCCTGTCACATGGGTAGTACTCCAAATACCTCCCTAAGTCATTGGCATTGGATAGTGGAAATGTTTCAGAAGCAATTAAATGTCAAGTGCCTAGCATGCATCCATTAGGTTTTCTTGACCACAGTATGAAGACGAGTGAATATTAGATTCAGAAGTGGAACACTATCCAGTGAGTCCTGCTGTGCTTTTATTTACTGACTACTCTTAGCTTATTGCAGAGAGCACCAAAGCCTGTAAGCATGCCAGTCACCTGGAGTAAAACCGGAGCATCTGGTAGATGTGCGCCAAGACTGCCTTCCTCATGCCTTTTAATGTCTGGTAGGATGTGTCTGGGTGCCTGCTGACTGGGGTGCTGTTACATGAACAAGAATACTGAGGCAGAAGTAAGGGACCTGGCTTTGGATTTTTGTTCTTGTCAATCAATACTGGGCTTTTGACACTGGCAAGGAGTCTTCTAGAGTCTAGAATGTGATTCCCATGAGTCATCTAAACTCTTCACAATACTAAAACACAGTGTTGACCCACACCAGGTGCTCCAGTTAGCAATGAGATAGTCAACCTGTGGTTACAAGCCAAAATGTTACCCCAAAGAAATAAAAAACAAACTTCCTTTGGCTATTAATCTCTCCTGCTCTGTCTAGCATGTAATTATGTACAGCACAGGTAAACACTAAAACACTGGGAAACACATGTACTGGAAAAAATTAGCTGCCGATTTTCTGGT